TCTGGATGGGTTCGGTCCTGAATCCCTGTTGTCTTTATGGAGCCACGTGCTCCGGTTTGCTGGCAGCGGATGCTCACTGGCCGGGAAATTCATGGCCACTTAAATGCTGTAAAATGGACCAAGCTGCCGGCACTAAAAACCAAAAGTTGCTCTACCAAAACTTTAGTTTAGCTTTCATAGACACACACACAAACCCACACACCTTGGTCGCTTTTATGGCTCATCATTTTCTTTTTTTATTCTGCCCCTCGCCATTATTTTTTTCAGTTTGGGTCAGTCATAAAAAGTTAAAGTTGAACTTTTTCTAGCTGAACGGGTAGCCAGCGGTAAATCAGTTTTTATTGTGCATAAATTAAAAATGTTCAATTAAAACCAGAAGAAAGAACAAGTTTCTGGTTGCTTTTTGGCCAGGTACACGTGGCTACTAGCTCAATTTCAGCTCAGTTTTTCATAGTTCAGTTTGCCGGGTTTTGTGAAACAAAAGACTGAAATTAAAACAAACTTCGAACATAGATCAAATGGATGTTCAACAATTTAGTTACGCAAACATGTTGAAATTGCGTGGATATCGAAACATATGGCTGCCACACATGTCGTATGCGCAATATTCAATGCACGAACAATTGTCCGACCAATTATTTATACATTTGTTGCGCATTAATGCATAATTATTGTCAATAATTAACACAATGAAAAAAAAAACAATGAATTCTGCTTCGAATTACAATTTTGTCTTTTTCAATGTGTGTTTCGATAATCAGTTGCAAACACATTACGCTTTTTATTATCTTCATTAATAATGCAGGCCGAAATCCTACTCTGGCACTTAATTTTGTTTATTCTCGTTCATTAATGGGTTGGGCTTAAAATGGATGCCATTTCGTTGATTAACAAAAGAAGAGTTCGATCTGTGCATTATAAAATTCTGTAACAAGGATTTCTCCTCGATAAATTTTGCAAAATGTATGTAAAATAGAGCAGTTACGAGAATATTTTTAATGTGTATATGGCGAACATTAATATAATTATTGGGTAGCATAAAATTTATAAATTCGTACTTAAGGGAATAATGGCTGCATTCAAATTATATTCATTTGTCTGTTTGACTTTTCAAAAATGTTCGTTCTTAAATAAGGTCACTTTCATATTTATCTGGGAAATAAAATAAACATTATCATAACCTTGAAACTTATTTAAATACATTGTAAAATTGTTAAATTGTCAACAAAGTTCTTAGGTATTTTCCATTTTTAATTAAATATTTCAAAGACTTTTATTTCAAAAAAATCATAAAAACTATTTATTTGTCTCCGAGCTCAAGGGCTATTTTAAACTGACATTCTCTTACAAAGTCAATTCCAGATAAAATGCTGTCAGATATGGTAATTAAAAAATGTATAGAAAATTCATTTTCCATTACAAAGTTTTCCTACATTTTTTGACATTTTCGGGCCGAGACTAACAAACTATAAAATGCAAGCTGAATATCTGTCAACGAGTCGAATGCATGTCCCCAAGGCGATGAAAATCAATTTGCAATGCAGCGTTGCAGCAAAAAAGCCGATGGCAAGAGGAAAAATATCCAGAGACACATGCCGAGGCGCACAGGCTTTGCATTTGAATCTGAATGTGAATCTGAATCAGAATCTGAGTATGCCGCTGAATCCGAATCTGAATCGATGGAATCAAGGAGCAGGACTCAGCGAGCACAAGGAATGCCAGGCAATGCAAATAGCTCTAAATGCATTTGACGATGCTGTGATTTGATTTCGATATTCCCCCTGAGTGTGTGTGTTGACTTTCAATTTCTGTTCGCGAGCGCAAGTTTTTGCCTCGGTTTCGCCAGCCTTCCTTTTCCCGGATTTTCCCCATCCAACCTGATTATAATTCGAATGCAGCGACTTCTGGCTTCGGCGAAAATGTCATTCGAAAGTTGGAAAACTCAAAGATGCTGCCTGCCAACTTCCGCTTCCGTTTAATAATTTTCCTCACTGTTGTTATGCCGCTGGGCTGATTGCCGTCGTTCACTTAGCTGATTGCAGTAGCTATCAAAAATTCGCTGCGACATAGTGTCGTATGCGTGATATTATGCCAGGTCGTGCTCATTCGCACTTGTCGCGCTGCCATCTTCATTCATATTGTGAGATGAACTGGGAAGAAAATTGTTGTACAAGTTTTTAAAATACATTTTATTTTTCCGTAACCTTTAATCTAAGCTAAAATATAAATACCTTTGAAATGTTGTCTTGAAAATCGATAGGTTAGGTACACAAACAAGAAATTCATTGCAAATTTAAAAGGAAGGTCTTTAAAAAATTTTTTTTTGGTTTTATAAAGAGGTCTACAGCCTGCAAAACAAATATTTTAAGTGTAGATATATTTAGAAAGCTTAAAAAATAATAGTCAAGCATTTAATTAATTAGAATGTGTATCACTCAACTTACAAATATGTAAAAACACTGAATATATATTTTTTTAACTTCCAAAATATTTTTTTTTAGTGTCTGCAATGGAAATGGCAAGAAGAAAAAGTGAGGAACCTGGGGAAAAAACTTTGTTAATTTTCGAGCAGCTCACGCAATAAAGCAAGCGCAGGCAGCGCATCACGTGCGCATTTAAGTTGCAAGTTACAACGGCAACGTGCCGCATCCAAAGATACACAGATACCGTACAGCATGCTCCAGACCCCGGTTGAAACACACACACAGATACTCGCACTCACACCGGCATAAATACAGGACTAGTTAGCTCATGTCAGTGTAAATTTTACACACAGGCGAAACCTGATGCCGCATACAAAAACCCAGGCCGAGCGGAGCTCCTCACCTTTTTGCGGTTTATATTCAAGCGCGCGTGTGCAATAAAAAGATATACCCATCCCGTGGCGGCATAACGGAAGTCGAGGCAAGTTTTTGGCATCCACGGCGGATGCAGGCGACCAGGAGGCTGCCGGGAAAGTGGAAAGCGGGAAAACACATAGCTGGCTGCGCTGCATAATCAGGCAAAGGCGACGGCGACAACGACAACATTTATCAAATGAAATGCACGTGCCAAGCGTTTGCCTGGCCCGCTTCCGTGAGCCGCCTCCCTGGCCGGGATAAGGTCCTCGGAGGTGCCATGGCTCCGGGGCAAGCTTGTGCACGAGGTGTGCCAGAGAAGTTCGTGGGACTACCCTTGGAACACTCCAGAATATTTATGGGATGTTTAAAAAGTATCTAGAGACGGGAAATCACATTAAAAGGTGTTAGAAAGTGGTCTACATAGCAGTGAACTTTTACCAATATATACATTTAAAATAGTGTGGAAAATTTGAATCTAATCCAATAGTCGTATAATAAATTTAAATCAAAATTTATTAATTCCAATATTATTATTTTATTTGTAATACATTTCTCTATTTAGTGATGTCCTTGTCACCCCTGAAATTAAATACTACCCAGGTATCGCCTTTAATTTAAGTTTAAACAGATCTAAAATTCTTTAAAAATTTTCAATTGTATTCAGAATATTGAGAATATTTTTATAAGAAACATCTTATTGATTTTAAGTATTAACTCTTTTCAATAATAAATTGTAATTCTATAAATATCTCTTATAAAATAATGAAAAGTTTTGATTTCATATGTTAAATTTCGTAAAAAAGTTCCTAATTAATTAGTCATCCCTCGTTTTGGGAGTATCTATTTCTTTCCATTATATACTATAAATGCGAACCTATGGTATATGTGAGTGAAATCAGCTGCCAAGTGCACTGCGTCTCTGTAATTATAATGAGCAAACTTACTGGATTCAGTTTCTTTCTCAATGAATTAACACAGTGTAGCGCTATGAACGTGAGCCTTCAGAACGGGTTATGGATGGATGGATGAATAGTTGGCTGTTCAGCTCTGTCGGATGCACATCGCAAATATCCATCCTGAGATATTAATTCTTAAATACACATAGAAAGTGTTTGTTCTTTCGACGTTCCTTCAAACAACTGAATGGTATACCATTGAATGCCTTTAAAATTCGATTATAATCCCTTCGGCATGTCCCCTGGGTGCACCGATGTCTGCCACCCTTTTTTGGCGCCCCTCCAGAAATTGCATTCTGCTGTCATGGAAGTTTCTGCACCTTGCAACCAAGTGGCTGCCGCTGCTGCCACTGCTCCTTCAGCTGCTTAAGTGCCATGCATTGAGATTGAGTTGTTTTCCTTGTAGCCACATCCCCGCACAACCCGACCTTCGAACCTCGGGGCGCATTCCACTCGAGAAAATCGATGATGTCTTGGGTGCTTTTGTTTTTGCAGCCGCACTCCAACTTGAAAATGTTTTGATAAACTAGCTCTCTCTGGCTATGCAAAGAAGTGAAAAGTGCAGCATGAAAATATAAGAAAAAGAAATGGTGAAGGGTAGAAAAAAGCACCGGAAACTTTAAGCTGCAACAAATGCAGAAACAATGGCAATTCAACCAACAACAGCTTAAGCAGTTGTCAAAACGTTGCTGGGAACGGGGGGAACAAACTTTTTGGCCAACTGTCGAAAAACAAGCGAGATGAAATTGGTAAAACAATTGTCAATGCGTCAATTTGAATGGATTCCAGTTGCAGCAGAAGAATCTGCAGCCCTAGCAGATAAAAACATCAACAAGAACCAGTGTCGAAAGTTTGGCCAAGAAACTTTCAGCAAAATCAGTGCACTGGAAAAAAGGGTTTAAAATTGTCAGATCTAGCGTTCTTTAATTTGTAAATAAATATGAGTAAAGCTTTGCAAGAAATTATTTAAATAAGTTTAGTTTATTTCATTATATTTTTATTAATGCACAGAAAAATGTGTTCCTTTTTATAATTTTAAGTACTATATCAGTTTTAATACTTTATATTTCATTATATATTTTACCCAAGTAACCAGCTGCATTGACTAGAATATTATAATATTTCTTTGTCTGTAAAAGTAGTCCTTGACCCAAAAATCTATACATAAATCAACGAAACCGAGTGAGATATTCGACGAGCAACAAGGTAAAATATGAACTGGAAATTTCTTATTTGCTGCCTGCTCGGCCACTCTTTCGGTAAGTGGACTTGAGTGTTCTAATTAACCCTCGACATCACCCCCCGATTCACCATCGACACCAATCCCATCCAATCTGAGCAGTTATAGCGATCGAGGCCAACTGTCTGCGGGGCACGGGCCACATGTGGCAGCTGAAGCCTCCCACCGGTACGACCAGCTGCAATAGACCGTCATTACTGGCCAGAAATGCAACGGCAGTGGGAAATCCAGCAGCAAGGTCTGCAGTCGACATTGCAGCAGCTTCAATGGGAACAGTAGATCCGGGGTTCGGAGGAACCCCTGCGGCCCCTCCTGTGGTGGTTCTGGCCAACTACGTCTACGAGTGCGCCAGTCGCCGGACATCGAGCAGTTGCAGCAAGCAGCCGGAGCCGGAATCGAAGCCGGAATCCGAATCCGGACCGGAGCCGGAGGTTCCTAAGCCCCGCACTGTGACACTGGCAGCCGGCGAACTGGCAGGATTCGGGTCAACTGGGTGAGCTGGGTTTTGCATGGGATTAATGCAGCCGATGCGAGGGGTTTTGTAAACCCACCACATATACATTTGCATATATTTCTTAAGGCAATAAAGATAGCAAATAAAGATTTTTTGCCATAAAAAATCAGTGTTTTTACCAGCATAATGCAATAAAAGGTCACAATGAGGAATGTCATACCTCGTTGAGCTCGTAGTTTAATTTCCTATCTATTGGCATTAAAATCTGAAAATCTTAAATTTTTACCAATTTTCGCAAAAATAGATGATGTAACCCCTAATAAAAAATGCGAAAATTGGTCAAAAAATAAATGTTCTCTAAAGTAAAGGGGATCGTTAGCATAGGTCGAAAGCTGCTCAAAACAGTTGGTCTTTTTGCTGTACGCCTTGATTTGGCTAAACTACGATAAAAAATCCGCTATTGAAGAGCATTTTTTTTGACAAAAATCTAAATTCCGATTTTTTGCCATACAAAATGTAGAGTTTTGACCGCCATAATGCAACAAAAGGTCACAAAAGAGGAATGTCATACCTCGTTGAGCTCGTAGTTTAATTTCCTATTGATTGGCATTAAAAGCTACAAATCTTAAATTTTTACCAATTTTCGCAAAAATAGATGATGTAACCCCTTATAAAAAATGCAAAAATTGGACAAAAAATAAATATTCCTTAAAGTAATAGGGATCGTTAGCATAGGTCGAACGCTGCTCAAAACAGTCGGTCTTTTAGCTGTACGCCTTGATTTGGCTAAACTACGATCAAAAAACCGCCTAAAATAGATCGTTTTTTGACAAAAATCGGAATTTAGATTTTTTGCCTTAAAAAATGTAGATTTTCGACCGCCATTATGGAATAAAAGGTCACAATGTGGAATGTCATACCTCGTTGAGCTCGTAATTTAATTTCCTATCGATTGGCATTAAAAGCTAAAAATCTTAAATTTTTACCAATTTTCGCAAAAATAGATGATGTCCCTTACAAAAAATTCGAAAATTGGTCAAAAAATAATTTTTCCCTAAAGTAATAATAATCGTTAGCATACGTCGAAAGCTGCTCAAAACAGTCGGTCTTTTAGCTGTACGTCTTGATTTCGCTAAACTACTGTTGAAAAACCGCTTAAAATAGTATTATTTTCCATTCATCCGTATATTTCTGAGGAATATAAACATCTGTTACACCCTCCGAATGCAGCTGCGAAAGCAAACATTTATTATTTTTTTCTAAAGCAAGAACAAACAAAGTTATTGTAAACATGGAGTCAAGCTCATTAAGCGATAAGAACAGGAATTATTGTTCAGTCGTGAACTGAGAGCTTTTCAGTTATCAGTAACAGCTGCAGAGATCTGAGATTAAGTTTTAAAATCTTAGTCCGATTAGTTCAGTCATGGCAGCTTGGCTCACCTCTGAATACCTGGAGGCTGCATTGCGTCGGCATTACGAGAACAACCAACTTCGAGTGGAATCGCTGGATATAAAGCCCGCCCTGGGAAAAGGCGAGAATTATGGAGCCATCCTAACGCGTATACGCCTTGTGTACAGCTTTGGCCTGGGCAGAAAAGTTGAGGAGCATCTGATGGCCAAGACCCTTTTGGAGGACGAAGATGCGGAGACCAAGGAAAAGAAGGCCCCATATGACATCTACAACCGAGAGCTGGAGATTTACGAACAGGTGTTGCCCAAACTGCAGAAATTAGCAGGCGAGCAACTATGCCCCAAAGTTCTACACATAGATCGGGAAAGAGGGGCCTTAATAATGGAGGACTTGACCCACAGAGGATATGTGATGGCTCCACGACTCCAGAGATTAGATGAGCAGCATGTAAGTCTGGTTTTAAGAAAGCTGGCTAAAATGCAGGCAGCTTCGGCGGTTTTGGAGGAGAATTCAAAAGAAAATGACTCCTCTTTAACCAAATACGATCGTGGTTTTTTCAATCGCTATACGGAGAGCTTCAGTGCCTACTTTTTGGGCTGTTTAAAGTCCTGTGCCGGCTACCTGAAAACCCAGTTGGGCTATGAAAACCATGCCAGGCTCCTAGAGGAACTGGCACCCCACTACATGGCACTGGGACTCCGCTGTTTTCAGCCCGAGAAGGCGCACATTAATGTCCTCACCCACGGCGACTTGTGGACAAACAACATGATGTTCAAGTACGAGGCGGGCGTGCCGAGCGATGTCCTCCTGATTGACTTCCAGTACGCCTTCTGGGGCTCGTCCACCCTGGACATCCATCATCTGCTCAACACGTCGGCCGTGGAGGCGGTGCGGAGCGAGCTTCAAATTAAGATGAGGTGTGTCTACCACGAGGTCTTCGTGGGGGAACTGCGGAGGCTCGGGTTCAAGGGTCAAAGGTTGCCCAGTCGCAAGCAGTTTCACCTGGAATCGGAGCAGAAGCGCTTCTACGGTAAGTATATTTTAAGTCTTCATTTTGGGGTGATTGGGAAAAATCATGAATAAATTATTTTTGAAATACTTACTAACTTAAAGGGTAAGTCTTGTCCTTAAAGTTGGGTATTTGTGTCTACCTTTCTAACCTTTTTAAACTGTTTAAAATGGAGAAGATTCTTGAAGTTGGATATTCGCGTCTACCTTTTTAACCTGTTTAAAATGGAAGAATTTTAAAAATCATTTCTACAAAAGCTAACATAGAATTTAAAGATTTCTTTCTTTATTTTCCCTTAATTTACTTTATCATCCATTTAATGACATTAGTATCATTTATTCCGACAGCTGTTCATTGCGGCCTACTGCTGCAGCCCGTGTTGCTAAACACCGATGAAACCGATGCGGATTTCGCGGCCCTGCTTTCCGACCAGCCCCGTGGAATGAACATGAAGAGGCGGCTGTACCTCAATCCTGGCATCCAGGACTCCATCAAGCGGCTGGCAAAGCAGTTCGAGCTCGAAGGACTCTTGGACCCGCGGCAGTACGAGGGCCTATAAACCTGGCTTTTTCATAAACTCCCCATTAGACATTTCAATTAGACGAGCTAATAAACATAAAACATGGCAGCCACAGCCGCAGGCATTTTAAAGCCAGCCATCAGAGGCTTTTTGAATTATGAACCAAGTTGGGAAAAATACAAAAAGAAAACGAAAAAGGCCAGAACACATTCAGTTGGCCCAGACAAAAGCGCAACACATTTAGCCGTTGCCAAATGGAAAAATAGAAAGGTGGAAAAATGGAAAAATGGAAAGTCGGAGGCGGCGAATGGAAGGGCGAGAATAGTTACACACATTTTTTGAATTGTTTAGCATTTTGAATAAGTGAATGAATGGACGCCATGTGGAGCTGTGAGTGCGTATCTGCCGCAAAAAATGAAAATATGAATAAAAAGAAAGGCAAAATGTGAATGTTGATGGCGTTGTGAATGTGGGTGATAAAGGGAAAGTCGAGGAAAATGGGGTATCCGGCACGTGCTTCTGGCCGCTGCTTAATTAAAACTTTAGTGCGAAATGCCGGGCCAAGCTGTTGGAAAATTAACCAAATTATGACGTGTCTGCCGCTGGTGTTGCAGCATTTGAAACTGCATTAAAGCCGAGTGCAATTAGGCTAAGCTGCGCCATTTAGCACGGCCTGCGCCCAAAACTAGGCAAGAGTTTATTGTAGTTAAAAGGGAAGGAGGAAAGCAGTGGAGCTTCCTTAACGAGAAAAAAGTCTGCTCTTCTGCCAAAAAATTAAACACTAGTTTCAAAATAATATCAAGTAGTTATTTGAACTATTTTCACAAAATCACTGGCTTAGATCTTTTAAAACTGATAATATAATAGGTTATTGAAAAAATATGTAGCTCTCTTTTGGGCATAAAATAAATTTTCTTTTTTAAAAACTGTTCACAAAATGTTACCTTGTATTTTAATATTGAAATAATAGTTATTAACTATTATTTATTATTAAATTATTAGTTACTAATTATTTTGACTGTCATAAAAAAAATTCAGAAGCTCTTTTCTTATTATAAAAATACACTTTTCATTATATTATATTATAAGATTACATATAGGAATACACAAGTTCGTGCAATGGAGGTTCCACTGTGGTTGGGCACAGGAAAACCCAGAATAAAAGACTGAAAAACAACGATGGGGAGTTCTTCGCCATAACATTTCGAAAATTCCAACTAAGCCTAATGCATGCCATTAAACGATTGTCTTTGTGTGCCAATGTTCGAGTGTGTGAGTGGGCCTGCATGAGTGTGTGTGGCTACTTGTTTATGCGTTTGCTATCTTCCTAAGAGACGTCCTCGAATGCGACATAAATGTTGCAAGTAAAAAGCATGCCGATTCCACTGTTTTATTCTCGCTGCCATCACTGTTTATTGTCCTTTTTTTCTGTATTTTCCGGTTCCTTTTTACCTTGTTTATGTGTCTGTGCATCAGCCATTTCTGGGATGCCTTTACTGCCTCACAAACACACAGTAACAATGACAACTTGTGCATTTTGTAAAAAACGCATAAATGACATTTCTGAACTATTTTATTACGCATCAAATTAATATGTAATGAATTTTTATTTTGCATATTTCCAAACCATTTTACTTAAAAAACCAAGTGCCATTACAATATTTTTTAGCTTAAATATGAGGACTACCCTTTTAAAAAAGTGTTGATATTGATTTAACTTAATGGAATACAGAGTACTTACTTACATGTTTTCACATAGTTTTCATTATTAGCTGCAGTTACAATTTCAATGTGTTGCACTTTTTCCAAATGAAAAACGAGCTTGTTGCATTTTGTTGAAAAATAAAATGCGAGCATGTAAACATCATGAATTGTTTATGAAAATATTTTTTTTTATTTGATTTATTTATGTTTTAGCATAGCATTGCATTATTCTGACTGGCAGAACGGTTGTTTTTTTGTACTTTTACCTTGTTTAATTGCATTTGTGCTGAAATGACAAGCTCACGTTGGAAAACTTTCTAGTCCAGAGAGCTAAAATTTGATTTAAGCCATTCCATAGATTAAAACTTTGGCCTGCCAGGGCAAAACAAAAATGTATAAAAACAAAACAAAATGAAAATCAAAGTTTACTGAGCAGTGGGTGGGGGGAAAATATTAAAATTGCTGTCCAGCCGGGACCAGGATTTATTTTCTTAATCCAAATAATGTCAAAAAGCCACAAACAAGCGACAGCCACATAAAACAACTTAGCAAATGAGAACACACACATATACTCGAATTCATACTCACATAAGGGGGAAAACCCGAAGAAAAATGTAATTTATTGTTATTACGAAAATAAATAAAAAAGGCAAGACACAGCAAGGAAAGAAATGAATCAGGGGGCGGGAAAAGCAGGCAGGACCACGCCCACTTCACATACACACACACACAGAGCCGAACTGAAATTGTGGCAAATAAAAGCGAGGAAATTAAGCAACTGACCACTGGCAAATAAACCGAAAAACCGAACTCAGACAAAGAAAAAGCACCAGAAATGGCAACGGCAGCCATTTTATGTGCCATTTCATTGTAAATAAAGTATTGTTTATTCCCGATGTCGCCTGGTATGTGTGTGCCTTGGTTTAGTGAACTATAACAAGTGAATTTATGTGAGTTCGAAGTTGTGCCAATGGCACATTTACTTAATAACTCAGGTAGGCGGATTGGTATGCCATTACGTTTGGTTTTTAATCTAATCAACTCAATAACACAGATAATCCGGGGTGAGGGAAATGCTTAACCCAAATTGCAAAACTTCATCAGTTGCAACATTCTATTGCATATTTCGACGGAAATTTCCCGGCCCTACTGTGCACCGGAAAATTTCAATTTATCTGCAGCCAGCTGAGCCATCGAGTTGATTTCACCCGCCCGGAAAACCCTTCGGGTCAAGTGTGAGTAATTACCGCAGTTAGGCCGATCCGGCCGAAAGGAACCTGAGCAGGCAAATGAAATTTCCATGAGTCCAAGGGCCAGGCTTTAAAAATAGCTGCCTCCTGGGGAAATTGGGAAAAGCGCTTGTTTTTGTATGTATTTTCTGCTGCTCAGTTGAGCATGCACACACACACACAGAGTGTGTTTTTGTGTGTGTGTCTGTGCAGGAGGTCAGGCAACACTTGACTAAACATTTTCATTTCGGCCAAGGGTGGCCAGAAGTCAATGAATTTTGCCACATGGCGTATGCTTGATATTGCGTGTTGTGTTTTTCCAGCGCTAAATGATTTCATTAAGTGCGAACTCCAACACGCTGCGAAATCGATAAAACAACGAACTGACGCACTTTACTGGATTTATTGGAAGATGCTTTTTAATTGCATTTTAAGGTTTTAATTGATTTTTGTGTTTTTCATTATCACTTTAACCAAATTTTTCATTTAGTTGGAAGCTCTTCAAAATTCTTAAATAAGTTTTACTCTTGATGCTAAGTCTAAGATATTAAATATTAGTAAATTTTACCCAAAAAGTTATCTTTGGACCTATTTCGTTTAAATTTTCATTCCATTTCACTGCGAAAGTTGGTTCGATTTATTGAAAGATGCTATTAAACTGCACTTTTGGGTTTTAATTGATTTGTATTTTCTTTCACTGTCACTTTAACATTATTTTTCATTTACTTGGAAGCACTTTAAGATTCCTAATTAAATGTTACTCTTGTTGCTAAGGCTAAGATATTAAATATAAGTACGTTTTACTCAAGAATAATTATTTTTGAACCTATTGCATTTGAACTTGCATTCCATTGCTATTATCATTTTAATTGCAATTGAATATTTATAATGCAATAAGTAAACTGCCCCTGCCGGACCAAGTCAAAAGTCATGACCTTTACATCAAAAGTCGGCGTCAATGACACATGGAATGCGACTTACATGTCGACCAAAAATGTAATTTATTCAGTGCCGCAAGATGGAGTCGAAACAAAGACACTGCCACGCCCCAAAAGGACCCCACATAATGAAAGACAAACAAAGCATTCTTTTAGGCGCCGCTGCAGCTGTTTGACACGTTTGTCTTTGTGTGTCTGTGTCTTTGGGTGTGTCAAAGTTCAAAGGACGAGGCGTAAGAATTGAAACGGATTAGTTGAGCAGACCATCCAACAGCCAACGGCCCCTATCCATCATCTTGCCACCAAGGGGTTAATGTCCTAATTGCATCATAGGTGTGCGTTTGAGTCTCTTGGTAAATCCATTTTCCAGACAGTTATTGAAAACTTATTAGCCTGCAGGCCGAGAAAATTGTGTAAGCAGCAAGGACACTTCTGTATTCCCAAGAAGGTCCCACATATTTGTTGGCTCACAACTTGTCAATCGAGTGGAAGGCAAAGGACAAATATGAAATCGACTAAATGAATGGCTACTGAAACTAATTGATTTAGTCGAGATGGATTTTAATTGCAGACAAATATCTTAAGGGTCTAATGGGAAATGGGCTTGCGAATTAATAATTGAGATGGCTAGGATGTTTTACAATTGCTGTAACAAGTATGCCAGATAATAGGATTCTAAGAGTAGGCCAGTAAACAAATCCGTTTAAAGAGAAGATTTTTCGCGCTCTCCGGGAGAGATTTTTACCAACCACGATTTTCTCTCATTAACTCTCTGGCGCTCTCTGCAGGAAAAGCTTTTCTCTCCCAGCTTTTCCCTCTCTTTGCTCAAAGGATGCTGGGCGAAAAAGGCTCAAGCTCTCAAAAAATGAGTCCTGCCATTGAGTGCCTATTGAGTTAAGCACTTTTCACACTTGATATCCTTGCGCAAGGATATTCCACTTGGCTTAAATTTCATTTTCCCATGTCTGCAGCATTAGCCAGCACATTCCTTCTTTCTTTGCCCACAATTCTGTTTTTGTTGCCACTTCATTTTGGCCCAAAAAAAGGAGGTGGAAAAAGGACTTCCCAAGCCATTCTTTGTTTTTCTCTAGCTGTTTGCTGTGCCTTGGGTTACCCGTTTGCCTTCTGCTCCTTATCTCTGCCCCTTCCCTTTATTTTTTTGCCCTGTTTTTGTTTTTATTGAACAGCGCTTTTATTGTTTGATTTTTGTCAACGCTTCCCCGGCTCGGCTTCACTTTGCTTACATAAGTGCTCGACCTCCCCTCGTCCTGCTAACTTGGCCAAGATGGCTTTGCACGAGGACTCTGCCATTTGTTTCTGCATCTTGCGTGTTTGATTTTTTTTATTGTTTTGATTTTTTTCTCCTATTTGGCTTAGCCATTGTTCATTTCTCGGTTAGTTGGTCTTTTAATCGCCTTGCTTAGTTATCCTGCCAACTGACTTTAGCCCTCTTTACCCGGGCTTTTCATTTCAATTAGTCGGAGAGCAATGCTTAAAGTGCTTTTCCAGTCCTGCCGCTTAATCCCTGGGCTTCTGTTGCATTTGAGTTATTAGGTTAATATTTAATTGACATTTTACCCGATCAAAGGATAGCTACTTTATTATTTTTACCTAGGCTTAGCTAGTCGACGTGCCAGGACTTTGTTTTATCGTACCATTGATACGCTAATTACTGGCGATAATTTATCAAGCACACACACACACACACAGACTGCTAAAAATTCAGCTGCAGTGGCAAAAATTGCTACTTAATTATCCCATCCTTTGTAGGGATCCACTCCTTGGGAACCCCCTGCCATCCTGGGCGCATCCTCGTCGTCAATGTCACGACTGCATGCCGTCACTTCCTGCCGCCCCCTCACTTGGGGTAACTTTACAATTAACTACTAATTGCTCATACGCCACGTTGCGCGGATAGAACAAAGTCAGGTGTGCGTGGCGGCAGCAGTTTTCCCCAGCTTTTCCCACTTTTCTCTATTCCAGTGGGTGGTATTTTTCTTTACCCGCCTTTTCCTCTAATTATCCGCGTTGTCACCCACCAGCCGGCAGCAGCATTTTTGTTGTTGCCGCCATCGCTGTCTGGCATTTACTGAATTAAGTTTTAAATTTTTATTAAATGCCTCTGCGCATTTTTCGTCTCCGGCTTTCAGCTACTGTAATTAGTTTTTAATTGCTTTTCAGCTAACGTAACTATGCGAGACTATGCGATCCGCACGTAAATAGTTCACGTCTCTCTCTTAAAGATTTTCCCATTTTCATCCATTTTCATTCGTTTTCCCCCTCGTTTTCACAGCCTTTACGCGGCCCAGCTGCGGCAAAGTCAATCAGCAATTGGGTCTCGATCCACATCAGAAAATGGCATGAAAAATATGCGAACAAAAATGAAAACCAGAAAAAAGAAAGAGGCAGCAGGGATGAAAGCGAAAGTAATCACAAAACTTTCGCAATAAATCTATGAAAATAATGAAAAACCCAAAGTGCTAGCCTGCATTCTCCCTCACTATTAGGTTTCCAATATTTCACACATATAGAGGGATGTCAATATGGAAATGGATAGGTCGCGTAAGAGGTCAGTGCGACCATAAAATACTCTCAGTGTAGGATTGACAAAAGAGAATTGGATAGAAAATTTCAATGGGATGGATTACGTCTAAGTTATTTTATTACTGTAGAAGATACCTCTATTGTAATATTTATTTCCGAACTTATTAGCATTATTACCATCTTATAATTTATTTATTTTTCCACTTAGTCATGTCCTTATAAACATATATTATTCAAATTTACATATTTGTTTGATAAGTGAATTTATAACTTAACTGAATACCCAAAAGCATTTGTAACAAAGACCTATTAATTTCGAGATAACATTTATTTCAAAAGTTAAAAATTGTTTGGCATTAGGGACGCTAATAATCAATCTCCCCCGCATTAAAATCTCCATAAATCAAACCCGAGCTCAAATTCCCATAATTTATTTCTTGTCAACAAATTATGCTCTGCCAACTCTGGGTTTCAGGTAGCTTTAATCACATAAGGCAAATACTTCACTCCCACAGAGTATCAATCAGCAAACATGACATCCAAAAAGGTCCTTCACACAGACACATCCCGTGTTCGTTCCAATTTCAACACACAAACAGGCAAACCCCCCTACACACACACCTCACCTACGCTCATGCAAATTGCAAACACATGTCGAAGGCGCAAAACATCGTCAAGCAAAATGAAAAATTTATGAAAACGCAAATGAAACAACAACAAGAAGAGCAGCGAAAAATATGTCGCGCCAGGCTAAAAAAACTGAACCAACAAAAATAAATAAAACATATTTTGCAAAGGACCGTCCCTTGCAAAAAGTGAATTTTTCGTTCCGTTTACGTGAAACTTCCAACTCATTTCGCCCAAATGACAAGCCATTTTGTGTGCCAAGTGCCAAATATTTTACATGCCAGCCAGCCAAACATATTTTGGCACACAAAACAGCTCGACAAAATGGAGAACTCTCCTATAGGAAAATATCCCAAAAACGAACGAAACGAGTCAAGCAGCTGGCTCGCTTTTGCGAAATCACTCATACGCAACGTTGCCGCCGTTGAGCATTGAACAGCTTCAATTGCCGTTTGATGGTTCATTAAAATTTTGCCTGCTGCATTGGCCCGAAGCAATCGAGCACAATAAATCGAGACCAGGTGCTGGGGACCAAGCATTTAAATGTACGATGCAATACCTGCTAGATTGAGGAGCTCAAAGGTTCAAGTTGGGCAGGTGGAAGAGCATTTCCCAGTGGCACCCATGCTAAATTAATGCTTTGCCGCAAGCTTAGATAAATAGCAAAATAAATTAAAGTGTGCAACCTGGCCTGCACCTTAATTGCCGAGCAAAGTCGAGTCTTGAGGGGATCTTAACCTAAAAAAAACATATTCTATATGTGCAGTAATATTAATGGGGTACCTGGCACACGTGCGCCAGTACTTACAGTCATTACTTTCCCGAAATTGCAAGATGGAGAGAATGTAATATTATACGTTTGTGACATCTAAAAATAGCATCTAAATATAACCTGTTTTGGGTTATTGTATATGTATATGTACTGCTTTTTAAAAAATCCAGATATGACCTAAGCAAACGGGTAAATTAGGAACATGATTAGTAGCATTTATTATTTTTTTAATCTAAGCCTAATTTGGTATTTCATCAAAGACCTTATCCCACTTTCTCCCAAGCTATTTAGAATTTTCTTCTGTTGTTTCTCCTTTCCTAACATTACTTCAAATAAATCTCCAGTTAGTTAAATCCCGTAACCACCGAGATTAGAAGACACGCCGAGGTATTGCTGTGTCGATTATCTGGGGTTGAATAATTTTCCTGGGCTTTTCATGCGTTTACATGCCACTCACGCAGGTGCTTTTCCCGGCCCGAGCCACGCACATATCTAATTTTAAACATTTTTCAAACTCAATTACATTCCAAGAAGTCGCGCTGAGGGAGCCGGAAGATATGGGATGATGTGGGTGCACCCCCAGCCAGGTAATTGCTTGCAAATTACACAGTAATGCTCCCAACCCAATCCCGAAAAGTAAAATCCAGGGGAGACAAAAACTGGTAGCTGCTGACTGCGAAAACTTTCTCGAGCATTTGCCTAAAGTTGAGAGTCTCCGCTCGTAATGAAATCAAACAAAGACACCGAATACGAGCTCCCTGCCGTTTTTTGGGCGGAGGGAAATCATCTTAAATTAGCAGCAAAACTCGGCAATTATGCGAGAAGTTGGCCAAAAGGAGTTGCCAAACTCCGCAAACCATTCTTATTTTTTTATATGTGTCTCCCCGAGCAGTGAGCAAATGCTAATGACTAGAAGTGCCCGCACACAAAGTCAAAGAGAAAGCGAAACGAGAGTGGGAGAAAGTCAAGCCACAGGTTGACTAACTGGCTGACTGACTGACTCACTGAGTGGCTGCCGGAAATGGCAGCGCCGAATGGCAGCACAAAATGGCTGTTTGTTTGCTTCCGGTCTAGGCCAAAGACGGCAAACACATTTAGCCACGAAGTGAGGAAAATTCCGCCCAGCCCTCTCGCACATATTTTATGCAAACGAAAAGCACACTGCCACTCGACTTTGCTGCGAAAAAAAAAAGTCAAAGTGAAAAAAAAGTAACCTCTCTATAAGTGTGCAGCCTCACCGCAAACTTAAAATGGAAAACCGCGACCTCTTCACCTTTCCAACGGCCAACAGGCCGCATTCAAAATGCTTAGTTCATATTAATAATTCATAAAAATTTATGCGAAATAGACAACATTCGCCGCTGCGGTCTAAACCTGGCTGACAGCTGCCATTTTGCGGTCGGCGGGACGATGAAGTCGACTCCGGCCATCTGTTTCCTATATTTGATATGCATTCCCCGTTGTTTTTATTCTGCTCTCTTTGTTTACATAACATACAGCTGCTGCAAAAACACCATACACCATATTTCCCCCATGTTGATGTGGCCCGTACACTCCAATGTTTTTTGTACCAATTTATTTTCTGCATATAAGCTTACATTTTTAAGCAAGGTTCCTCTTAGTATATGTTTCTGGGTTATTTCAGCTTGGTAAGTGGAGGAAAAATACGAAAAGCTTTGAACTTGTTCTTTAAATTATTAAAAATGCAAAGTCTCTTTGTTTCCAGTAAAATACCAATATATCTCACTTTTAGTTTTTCTAAGAGTTCTAAGACTATTGCAGTTTCATGTTTGCATTTTCATTTGTAGCAGTACATGGATGCAATTTTTATTTGTACTTTTCTGTACAATAGGAATTCTTCTGAGCTATATTTCTATTAGTATCTACACAAAAATACCCCTGAAAAACATAATTGTGCCCATCTTACACTCACTCACATGCTCTTTATAATTTGTCTTATAAGCCACAAACCGCTGACAATTATGAAAAGTAATTTCGCATTAATCCGCTTATAAATGAAAAGAAATTGAATTGCTAACCTCCCACCAAAGGCCATATTTTTCCAATTCACTGAGTGATACGATTATGCCAGTTAGATACATATTTCGAAATCAAAGCAACCAAAGTCCATTAAATTAAAAAAATTCTATATGATAAATTTTGCTTGCATAAATGGTTAGATTCCGAGTGGTTTTAAGAGCTGTTTGCTGCTGGAGTCGCAGGATGTGTTTTCGAGCTGAAGAAGGGATCCTTCGATTTACGCAGAGACATCGCGAGAAATGCGTGGGCTTACTGCATCCCTTTTCGGCAATATTTCTGCTCGTTCTGATTGGATTTATGTTTATCTTCGAATTGTGGTATGTTTTGCCGGCAATAACCGATCCCCAGGGCATCTGGCACAAGTTGAACTGGCTGCTGGGAATTTATGTTGTCTTTAATATACTGGGAAATTGGTGGCTCGGCTTTGCAAGGAGTACGTCGGTTGAGAGTTTGTCACCGAAAAGGCAACATCCTGCGGCGGGTGAGGCACACCTGTGGCATTATTGTACCTCCTGTCAAAAACTAGTTCCCCCGAGGTCCTGGCACTGCAGATTGTGCAATGTTTGTATTCTCAAACGGGATCACCACTGCACTTTCACTGGAAATTGCATTGGCCATAACAATCAGCGGTACTTCCTGGGCTTTCTGTTTCACCTGACTTTCGGTAGCGGACAGGCCCTCGTCTATAATGCCATGTTGTCTAGCAAAATTAAGGCCTTTGGGCTCTCCGATCCCCTATTAATGATTGGCCATGATTACACTCAAGATGCTGACTTCGAGTGGAAGTACACAGTGGCCAGCATTTTCAAACTGAATTTCCTTCTTTTCATGGTTCCCTTCGGTATGTTTGGCTTACAAATGCTGATGGTCCATCGAAACAGTACATGCTATAAGATATTTGACCGCAGTTACGATGTCGGCTGGCGGCGAAACTTTGAGTTGGTACTGGGAAAACGCGGCTTCTGGACTTTTCTTTCGCCAACCATTGCAAGTCCTCTTCCCAACGATGGCACCTTCTGGATTCAAAAGCAGTTTGTTTAAAAATTTGGAAAAATTACACTATGTTGATAGTACCTACATAAAATTATATAGTCGGCTCACTCATTCTTGTTATTATTTTCTTTAAGTCGTACAAATTTTCAACTAATAAAATTGTTGAGTAATCCGAACCATGTGCTACGTGAATACCTTTTGCCAATATTGTGCCAAACGCTGCCCCGATACGTTTGTGAAGATAGTTCATCCACTGTCTACAATCTTCGTAGCGGCGGGTATCTTATTCTTCTTCTCAGTGCAGATGTTTTACATTGCACCTCAGGTGTACAAGGACATGGCCTACAAGCTCTACTGGATACTGGCCATCTTTATAATGCAAAATATCCTAGGGAACTGGTTGGCCTGTTATAAGACAAGCTCATCGGTGGAGACTTTGCCCAAGGACTGCCAAATTCCGGTTCCAGAGGAGGAGCACCTGTGGCGCTATTGTGAACCCTGTAAAAAGCTAATGCCTCCGAGGTCCTGGCACTGCGGATTGTGTAAATGCTGCATTTTGAGGAGGGATCACCACTGCATCTTCACGGCCACTTGCATCGGTCACAATAACCAGCGATATTTCTTCTGGTTCGCATTCTATTTAACATTTGGCTTAATCGTGAGCTTTGCCACTTTTTGCACTCATTTGGCAAGGAATGGCTGTAATATGTTTATGATGCCGGACCTGTTTTCGAATTTACTATTACAGTTCTTGTGCAAAAATCACGACAGTACCTCCAACGGCAGTCTTTTTTACGACAGTACCTCCGACGGCAGTCTTTTTCAGACCATAACCTATACTCTGAACATTTTCGCTTTCCTCATACCTGGCTTCATGCTTACATACCAAGTTCAGATTTTATGCCTTAACTCTAGTTACTACCAAATGTTTGATGATGTCTATGACTTGGGTTTCCTAAAGAACTGCGAACTTATTATGGGCCAGCAAGGACTTTGGACATTCCTATCACCCTTGCTGAAGAGTCCTTTGCCCCACGATGGCACTCAGTGGCAGATGAAGCAACAATCTCTATAAATTTATAGATGCCTTAGAACAAAATTTATAAATTGAGATGAAAATATAGTGGTTATCAAGGTTTTTTTGTTAAATCTAATTTTATTAATAGCGCAGACCTGCAGAATAAGTCGATTATTTAGCAGTTTTCAGCTGGAAGCCGCTGTGGTGTCTACAGACAGTAAAATAAAGCAGGCCATGGATTTTAAATTAAAAATGCTAAATAAAAATTCAATACAAATACAAAAGATTAAACAAACACAGGTTGTACAGCGATTTCAGCGGTTAAAGTGAGAACAGTTTTCCAGAATCAGATCATTAGGTAACTGTTTTTTGATTATTAAGATCAAGAGAGCAGAATTCACTTGCTTTAAGCGACGAACTATTATTTAATCTGTATACTTTTTTTTCATATAATACAGAATTGATATCGTGAACCATGTGCATCTTGACGGAAATGTGTCGCAATTATGCCAAAGGTGATCCCAAGAAGTTCGTGAGAATAGCACATCCGCTATCAGTGATTTTGGTATTTGTTGGCACCGCTTTTTTCTTTTCCCTTCAAATGTTTCACGTGGTGCCCAATTTATTTGGTGTCGGTACATTTATGTACAAACTTGGCTGGGTGGCGGCCATCTTTATAACATACAATATCCTGGGGAATATGGTGGCCTGTTATATCACAAGCTCATCGGTGGAGAGTTTGCCCAAGGATTGCCAAGTTCCGGTTCCAGAAGAGGAGCACCTTTGGCGTTACTGTGAAACCTGTGAAAAGCTCATGCCTCCAAGATCCTGGCACTGTATACTGTGTAAGTGCTGCATTTTGAAGCGGGATCATCATTGCAGCTTCACGGCCAATTGCATCGGTCACAATAATCATCGATATTTCTTCTGGTTTACATTCTATTTAACCCTTGGAACCAGCTTGAGTCTAGCTACCTTATTTATTGATGCAGTGATGGAATTCTGGCCTTCTGTGACGTGGCGGTCGTTCCTATGGGTAACTTCTTCCGAAAATTCAGCCTTATGGTTTATTTACTGGCGCTACGTTATCATGCTTCTCAACGTTTTCGCCGGCCTTTTTCCTGCCCACATGCTGTTTTATCAAATAGAGAATCTTAAGTCGAACTCTACGTACTACAAAATATCCAGTCGGCTTTACAATCTGGGTTTCCGGAAGAACTGCAAGGTTATATTGGGTCAACGAGGCCTCTGGACTTTCTTATCGCCCATGTTGAAGAGTCCTTTGCCACACGATGGAACCCGGTGGCCGATGAAGCAGGCCGTCTAATTTAATATATATTTTATACCTAATATTGAAAAATTAAAAATTATTCTTTCATCAGGGATAAATTGCTTTACTTGTCATTAGTAAAATAAAAATTTATTCAGTCAATGCTACATTTTAACATTTTTCATTGCCTCAGGAAATGTGTTTCATATGGGTCTGCACAAGATCCTTCGCTCGTCGCCACCCGAAGATTTTTGTAGGATTCTTGCATCCATTCGCAGTACTTTTTGTGCTGGTGACCACCGTCTTTTTTGTGGTGTTGCAACTGTTTTACGTGGTGCCCAACCTATTCAAAACCGATACATTGATGCACAAACTAGCCTGGCTGGTGGCCATCTTTATAACGTACAATATCTTTGGCAATATGCTGGCTTGCTACCTCACAGATACTTCGGTTCAGAGTCTGCCGAGGGATCGGCAAATGCCGGAACCGGGAGAAGTGCACCTCTGGGATTTTTGCGATATCTGCGAGAAGTCGATGCCTCCGAGGTCCTGGCACTGTGTCCTGTGCAATCGCTGCATTTTGAAGCGCGATCATCACTGCATCTTTACGGCATCTTGCATTGGGCATAATAATCAGAGATATTTCTTCTGGTTCACCTTCTATATGGCCTTAGGGACTTTCGTGGCCCTGACAACTCATACCCTGGTTGTTTTACAATATTGCAGGTATATGAACTTGGTTTTCTTGGACTTTCGTGATGTTATTGGTCTTCCAACTTGGCTCCTTGTGACCCTGTTCGTCAATATCTACGCATTTGCTGCCCCAGGATCTGCCTTGATTGTTCAGTTTATGGCAATACGTATAAATGGCACTTTGCATGACCTTTATAGTGAGAGGTACAACAGAGGGATACGGAGGAATTTCAAGATGATTGTGGGTAAGAAGGGTCTATGGACTTTCCTTTCGCCTACCATTAAAAGTCCTTTGCCACATGACGGCACAAAGTGGTTAACTAAAGAGAAGGACATCATAGACATCCATATGTAATAGATGTGTACTTTTTATAGTTGAATCGAAAACTCACGAATATTAAATTCAAATGTTTAAATTCAAAGCTCGTTGCTCGAACTATATGTCATAACAAACATTCCTTTGGAATAATACTCAGTGTACATTCAGTACCATACATACAAAATTACAGTCCGTTTCGAGCTACTGATCTGCAGCTTATGGAAGTCCCTGTTGAATCCTTAAGGCTTCGAGTTAAGATGGATTCACCGGACCAAGGGGACACCGTCAGCATCCCAAAGCGCATTAGAAGACGTATCAAGCCTTTGGTAGATACCATAGCAGTATCCCTGAATGTCTCGATGATACTTTTCTTTTACTTTTTCGATGTGTTCTATGTAATGCCACAATTCTTGGGGATCTTTGGACAGGCGGTGCATTTTGTGGTAAGCACTTGGCTTACCTACAACATCCTGGGCAATTTGAGGGCCTGCACGAATACCTCAAATACTGTGGACACCTTGCCGCCGGAAATGCTGAAACCAGTGGAGGGTGAGGAGAGTCTGTGGCACTTTTGCGACCTTTGCCAAAGGACTGTACCGCCAAGATCCTGGCACTGCAAGACCTGCAGTACGTGCATTTTGAAACGGGATCATCACTGCAATTTCGTGGGTAACTGTGTGGGCCACAATAACCAGCGGTACTTCATGTGGTTCTCGTTCTACGCAATGATTGGCAGCGTTTTGGCCTTCTGCGATAATCTGCTGTACGCCCATAAGCATGGCATTGAATTCTTCGACATATTCACGATGCATTTAGTTCTTTTTGTCGAGTTCATGCATCCGGGTACACATGACCTGCTCGGTCACTTCATAATAATCTCCATATTGACCATGAACTTATTCGCTATCATATTTCCCGGCGCCCTGTTTCTCTCGCAAATAGTTGTTATCCGAAACAACTCGGTTATGCATAGTACTTCTGATCGCACCTATAATTTGGGTTTGTGGGAAAACTTTTCCCAGGTCCTTGGACGTCGTGGATTTTGGACCTGCTTATCGCCTAGTATCAAAAGTCCCCTGACTCACAATGGCATCCAATGGAAGTCGAAGAATACCGCTTAAATCTATTTCTCATCGTTCTTGCAGATTATATTTGATTTTGCATCCCACACAATCGAGTCTTTCACTTCATTAAGTCTTGCTAATTACCAAGGGAAACCGAGGGGATGAAAAGGGGAACTTGCCACGTGTCCAAGTTTAACGGATTGCGAGTTTGGTACTGAGAGTCCCGTTTATCATTCTAATAAAGAGTCAATAGACTTAGCCGTTTGGTCAAAGTTTCTATAACTGTGCAGGGGAGATTTATTTAGATAGTATATAAGGGAATCAAGCAAAAATATCTTAATATTAAGCAAAAATATTCGTAATATTAAAGTGCTAATTAAAGCCAGTAATACAAATATTTTAGTATTAAGACTGGTAGGATATCAAAAAGTCGGCTTGATAATAGCCCACAGATTTACTTCCGACTTGCTCTACATTTGCATAAAGTTCCGCCCCCGAAAATCGCTGAGAAGGCCTTTCTGCCCACCAAAGTCAACCTCAAATCTGTTCATGGCTTATGACACCTTCTGCCGCAAGTCGAAAACACTTGTCAAGTGTCGGAAAAAGCCAAAATCCGTTTTGAAAAATGAAAGCCACTCGGGATAGAGATAGAGACCATTCTGGAGGGCAGGCGGGGCATGGGCTATGGGAGAATTAATGACGGCGCATGCCAGTGACAAGCCCCGAAACATGGAATCAAAGTCCAAGAGTGGGCGTTTCCGTGTTTCGGTGCATGAAAAATGTTCGAGGTGCGAAATCTGTTGCGAGGTCTAAACAACATAATTGCCAAATAAAAAAGTCGCCGCCGGCTCTGGCTCTAACCGCCTGACCATTAATCAAAACTGGCTGAAAAATGAGCAGGACCATTCGAGGAGGCCATGGAACAGCTGCCTTTGGCCAAAAGCACGAGTCTGAAGTCCACTGAGAAATGGCATTGTCAACACTTTTTGGCCAATCGGAAGGGGGCGGGGCATTGGGAATCCCCGTCAGCGACATTTGTTCCGGCAATCGCTTATTGCGATGGTCATATCAGAGTTCCCGATTCCGATTCCAATTCCGCCTCCCCAGACTTCTGATGGCTGATGACCTCTGATGCCTGATTGCAGCGCACTCAATTGGGCAACTTCCGCAGGCATTTGGTCGAAATGGGAGGAGAAAAATAACAGCTGATACGTGTGGTGACTGGTGCTTAAAGATCTAACCAGAAATAGTCCTGTAAACCCAGTTCTAGAGTGGAAATTGTGGAAGAGAGGAACCTGTCCCCGCATCTGTTGTGGATATTTCCATGGCATACACGTTGGCATGTCAGTCAGAATGGGCTTAGATATTCGTTGTGGCATAGAGAACTTTAAAATGCGGGCCCATCTCGAATAGAGGATGGGTATTGAGTCCTTTCGGCCTCACATTCATATAGCAACCACTGCCAGGAGACGGGTCTGTTAACTGTCTCTCAACCAAAACCCCAACCAAACCCATCCAACTCCTGTGTGCAGGACAAAATTCACCGCTAAGCATTTGCCAACAATGTGCGACTGTTCAAAGGACAAAGGCGTTTTTGGGACAGGGAAAAGGACATGGAACCGGTATGACATGGAGGTTCATGGGGGTCACTGTAATCAAAGCGATGGCTCTGCTCTGCAAAAGAAAACCTCCCAAACAGGAGGAAAAAGTGCTCTGAAAAGGCGCCAAATTAGTAGTATTCCTGCTGCTTAAAATATATTCGTAATATAAGCAATTCTAAACAATTCAGTGATTTCAACCCTGACCAGTAATAATTTTAATCCCATCTTTCCAGCTATATTTTGGCAGACCCAAGAAAGCAATCGAGTGAACCGGCTTTTTCTGCAGACTTTTCACCAAGAATTTTCTCTGCTCGCCGAAACGCTGACTGAGCTGCTGCTGCGCAGTCACTGCTCTGATTTTTCTCTGCTTTTTCGCTGCTTTTCCGCTGCTTTTCCTCTGCTTTCTCCGTGCTTTTCCTCTGCTTTTGGATGATGGACAAATGGCATCGCCAAGTGAGCCACTAAGCAGCGACAGTTTTTATGATTTTTCGGTTTCAGCGAGTTTTCCTTTTGTTTGTTTTGCAATTATTTCCCCTGACGGGAAAAGTGGACTGTACTGTTACTATTGCCATCTCTTTCGGCAGAGACTTTCATGTTAACTCACCCCAAATTTTGCACTTTGCCACAATTGTCGCATTCTTATTAGGCGCATATGAAAATGTTTGTCATATATTCTTTGAAATTCGAGAACTTCTTTGCTGTTTGCTGGTATTTCCGCATTTGCATATATTTCATGTGGCATGCACTTAGTTTCATGTATATGTTTCACTGTTTCTTTGGGTCTTTGGGTAATTTCATTTGCACCAAGTGCCTCACCTTTTGCCATTTCGCCATTTGGTATTCCCTGCCTTTATTTGCATTTTTCTGAATGTGTATGGTGACCCCTTGATATTATTCCTGCCACCCACTTTATTTGCCCGGCACTTCACACGCTGCCACTTTCCCATTTCCCATTTTCCACCACCCCTCGCACGTACGCACATTCAGGCATTCACCCATTTCCCACCCCCTTTCTCCTTCGTTTTGCGGTCATTTAACTGATGTTTCTATCTCGTCCAGACTTTCTTTGTCTCCGTCTCGCTTCCACCATCGCCCCATCTCGCTTCCACTTGGCCTGCGGCCTTTTCCGGATGGCAAACGGCAAATGCTGAAATCGTGCGAAAAATTAAATAAATGACCAGCTCGATTTGCCCATTCCCATTTCGATCGGCCTCGCCTTTATTTCCACCTTATTTATGGCTTTAATGTGCTATAACTCTGCATTGATTTCCATTTACCTTTTGAATTTATGGCCCGAGGGCCTCTAAGTAGCGTTAGCCGCTTGAATATTTGATATTTTTTATAAAGTACGTTTCAATCGAATAGCTGCCCCCATTTCGTTAGTAGGTTTATAGGGTAGGCATATTCCAAGAGCACTTGAATAATGAAAAGTACATTTTGTAACCAAAGGTTAGGAACTATTTATTGGATACGCATGGAGCTTTTTCAATATATGAAATATTTGATATTTGAAAAAAGTCCTTGCTAAACATGCTTATTATTTTTATAATCTTTCCATCCCTTAATTTCAAGTTAATTCTAACAAAATATTGTCCTAAATTATTATAATATTTCTACCTTATGTTAAATAATAAAAAAGGAATTTATAAAGTTTATTTGGTACCTGAAGCTGGTGAGTTTCGCTCTAAGATATTTTCTAACCAAAGTTTAGGGACTTTTTTGTTACTTATGAAACTTTTACAAAAATATTAAATTGGATAATTGAAAGAAAAATACTTGCTAAATATGCTTACTTTCTTTATAATCTTTAAATTCCTGGAACATCAAGTTACTTTTAACCAAAATATTACGCTTTTTTTAATAAATAAAAAAGGTATGTATAAAGTTTACTTGGCACCTGAAGTTCCTGAGCTTTGGCTTTAAAAACTCCCACCACTCCCTCCTTATCCCTTTCGCACTTCAGAAGCATCTCGTTTGCATTCAGCAGCAAATTGGCCAACAGCCTTGCAGCTTGTAGTCCGAAATTGCCTTTCATAGCGTCAATTCCATCAGCAATTTCCGCGCCAATTAAAAAATTGTTGCAACTGGCCGTTTTCGTTTTCTGGCCCTTGGCATTATTCGCCACTTTTCCATGCCGAGCACGCACTGCGGGGGTGAAGAGGTGGGGAAATGGTGGGAAAAATTCGAAAGGGTGGGTGGAAAATGCGTTGGGGAGGGGGTTGGGTTTCTGCAGTGCAGAACCTGTGTGAAGAGGGGGAATTTTTTGGCCGTGGATTCGCGAATGAGCTTCATCTGGCACGCCTTTCTCTCTCTTTTTGTTGTTCATCATAAATAAATACTGTTAATTTTTCAATTGTTCGCTTGGCCGCTTAACAGCCCCCCCGGTTTTTCATCCACCCTCGCACCACCGAAAATGTGGCACGTGCAACGCCATGCACATAATGGAGGCTCCCTCCGGAAAATTTCTGCCGGGGAATCCGATTCACCATATGCCGGAGTCAAAATTTGTGCTGCCCGGAAGTTTTGGGCTACGTGGTGACGGAGATTGACAGACTAGACTATCTGTACACTGAAATAAGTATTTGATCTTGAGATTTTCAAGAAACTTGATAATAAGTCTTAAATATACGCAAAGATATGAGAAGGATTTTATTATAAGTTGTACAGTATTTGGTTATAAAATAACTAAAATAAAATAATAAATGTATCAAATTGTCGAGCTCTATCAGTTCCTTTAATTATTTCTATAAAATTGGTACTCAAATATTAATAATATATATTTTAAGAATAAGAATTTTCAGTTTAGTATTTAATTGAAATATAATCCTAAGGAAACTTTTATGGGTTCTCAAGAATGGACGTTAATATTAATATTACTGTCCCTTAAAATTATATTGTTGTGGAATCATCCTTATCAATGGTATTTTTTGATTATCGAAATATAAGTGTAGTTTTTAGTAAGTTAAGCTAAGTGTATGAGCAATAAAGTTGACAGTTTTCCATCAGACGGGAACGTGACAGCTTGGAGGAGGAACGTAGCCGAGGGCCAAGGATTGAGGACCCCGAGCGGAGGAGGACGAAGAAGGAAGTCCTGGAGGGCACGTGGTGTTGTCTGGACGACGTCACAAAAGTTGGAACCGGCGTCGCCACCGGATATCAAACAGTTTTGGCTGTTTGCTGGAATGCCCCGTCCTAATATGCAATACACAATATCCAAATATCCCGCACACACATGACAGGAGCAGCTGTCACCCGGCGGGGTCCATCTCCCTCTCGCGCTTATCGCCCCGGAACGGAACTTGATGAGCAAAAGCCATTTTAATTTCAAACGCTCCCGCCCTGACTTGACTCTCTATATAAATCTGTCAGCCGTGACAAGGCACATCTGTCAGCTCCTCCCGCCAATCGGAATGCCTAATCGAAGTAAATTGAATCACATAAACGCGGCAATGTGCCCAAAGGACCTCCCGGAAAACAGGGAAAGGAGCAGCAACCTTA